GAATTAAAACTATATAGAAAACAAAATGCAGCTTCTTGCTTAAGAAATGGGACAACTAATAAAAACAAGACTTGGAAGTGGACGTGGTCAGCACCAGAAGCAGTCTGAACTGCTGATGACAGGACAGTTTTGACTGTCTCATTGTTGCAGCAGATTCATCAGACCAGGAAATATACTTCCAAATTTATTCCATTGTTTAGTTTTGAAGCCTCAGTTTCCTGTTCTTGGCTGACTGGAGTGGCACCCAGCGTGCTTTGCTGCTGATTTTCAGAGATGCACTTCTGCATATCTCGTTTGTAACCAGTAGTTCTGAGCTACTACTGATTTCCTGTCAGCTCAAAGCAGTCCTCTGCTTCTCCTCTGACACCAACAAGGTATTTTCACCCAGAAAATCACTGGATATTTTGTCCTTTTCAGACCATTCTCTGGAGATGGCTATGTGGAAAAATCCCAGCAGATCAGCAGTTTGTGAAATACTCTAACCAGCACGTCAGACAACCACACCACATTCACCCATGGCTTAAATGATTTTTCTTCCTCATTCTGAGGCTTGTTTTGAACTTTAGCATGTCATCTCAATCATATCTACATGCTTAAATGCACTGAGTTGCTGCCGTGTGATTGACTGATTAGATTATTAGAGCAGTTGAACAGGTATAACTACAAAAACAGGTGAGTATCTTTTGTACCCTAACAAAAATAACCAAAACAAAATGATCTTTTCTCTTTTTCAATGTGGTCAATTATGCCTATCAAATAAACATTAAGTGGCTTGTGTGTACATATTTATTGCCTTATGTATGCCTAAATGGCACTTAGTAGAGTACTTTTATTACAAAAAATGTTTTTGAACTCAAATCTGCCCTTAAATCTGCCCTGATGAATACCCCCATATTAATTTAAAAAGATATAATTAAAAGTAATAACTTGAAAAATCATTAGCAGTTAAAACTGAACTGAAATGAGCAAACAAAAGTGTGAAAATGAAACTGAAAACAAATCCAAGATACAAAACTATACTAGGAATCCTCCTCAACTGCTTATACACCATTTTATTTAATGTCCTCAGTTCAAATTTACTTGTTTCTTTCAAATTATTCAGATTCAGGACTTTATTTTATTGCTCTCCCTTAAAAAAACCTCTGCTGTCAGCAGGACATTCCTTTCCCACAAGTGGTCTACACACAGAAAATGATTCAGACTGAAAGGAAAACCACAAAACGGCTTGAATCAGAGCATTGTGCTGTTGTTACCATTATAGGTTGTAGAAAAGAATCAAATTACAGAGAGGTGGGACTGCCAGGAATACAGCATGGAGCCTGGCCAACCACTTTCAGTTAAGTGGGTGGAGACTTAATCCAGTGATCCACAATCAAGATGAATTCACACTACATTCCTGTGGCAACCTTTTATTAGAAAAACTTTTTTTTTTTTTAAAAAAAACAGGAAATAGCAGTCCAGAAGTGAATGTTTGGGTCACATCCTGTATTTGTACATTTTATTTTGTCATGTTTGAGTTATTTAAGATAAATTTCCAAGACAGAGGAGATTTATGTGGGCAATTTCCATCTTTCTATATGTCAGCGCTGCCATCAGTCACCGGGTTTGACCCCAGTCGAGAGTTTGCTGAGGTCTGAAAACAACAATATGTGGAGCAAACGTCTTGCATTAAACATGAATTATAGAGGGTAAAAAACTAAAACACTATACACTTATATCAGAACAGTGCAGGCGGGATGCCGTTTCCAAACAGAAGACTCCAGGAAGTCGGGATCTTCCATTTGTTGGGCTGTTTGCTCTGAAAGGAGAATTGGAGAACAATGATTCTCCTCACAGTGACATTACCGCTCCTCTGAAACTTTAGGTTGCTTTAATGCTGCGCCGTGGTGTCACTTACATTATCGTCCAGCAGATGGAGCCAGTCGTTGAGGTGGTTCGCCAGAGCGAAGGCATCGGGGATGTTGTCGCCTTCTGAACAGAAGAGGAGCAGCACAGCCAGCGGGAGGTCCTCTTTGCAACTGTGCAGCACACGTGATCACAGAAACACAAATAATATTAACAAGGAAGTCTTACTGAGGCGTTTCAACATGCTGAAAAAGTGTCTGAACACACAGCAGACACCTACAGCTGCCTTTGTTGTGATTTATATTGGAATAATTATTAAACTGTAACAGTGACCCGTGCTCTTACAGACAAAAATAAAAATGATTTTAAAACCAGCTCCCTGTGTTTTTGATGATCTTTTGTCTACCTCCAGGTCTCCCGTCTCTACCTGTCTGTGTAAAGTCCTTTGGTGATGCCTCCTCCGGGGATGCAGAGTCGTGGTTCCGTGTTTCCGTCTGTGAGTCCAGGGAAGGCCGGGACTCGCTCCATTTCCCTCCAGCCCAGCTCCTTCAAAGCGTCCGCGCTCCCTTTCAGCAGGGACGGCGTGACCAGGTACCTCAAAGGAGTGCTAGCAGAGACACGTGTTTGTTGAGCAGACATGATCGAAAAATGCAAAAGTGAAGAAATAAGGCAATAGCGTTGCAAGCGTATTTACCCCTGCAGCTGCTGGTCATCTCTCTGGTAGGCGTGGCTGCTGGAGAGGACGACAGTCCTAGAGAAGCCGCTGGATTTGATCCAGGACACGAGCAGCTGACGAAACTTTTTGGTCTTTGACTGCAGTTTAAACAAAGGTAGAACAAAAGAAAACAACAATAGGCATACAGTATTAAGGGAACTCAGAGAATGAACTGACGTCATACTGATGACTGATTGTTACCTGAAGAATTGGTGCTCTGATCTGAAGGACCGCCAGCTTCAGTTCTGCTGCTGCGTAAACTGTGGATCACAGAGGGTTTTGTTTTTGTTTTTAATTTCTGATCAGAAATGTCGACATCTCTGTGTTAGACAGGCACCAGCAGTGACCCAACTGTACCTTCAGCAGGAGTGTGCAGCTCCTCGCCATCTTCTTTGCAGCTGGCATACGGGTTGTTCCCGGCCATCGGGATGAGACAGTCAGTATGTATGTGGCCCACCCTACTCATGTTCAGAGTGGACACGATGAGATCCACGGCCAGCTGACCCACGTTACCTACGGCAACCGCAGGCTGAAGGAGGAAAGAGGGAGAGTAGAAGTAACAAAAGTAAAGAGAAGGCGAGAATCGTTTTAATCACTTTTTCCTTTTCCTGAGCACATTTTAGTTGTGCAAAACATCTGATAAAGAAAAACATGTGTTAGAGAGTTCCAGTTTTTACTAGGCCTCTAAGGTTTTTTTTCAAGTTTTAGGACAGTTGCATTTTTTTTGTAGTTTTATTGCACTGTGCAAGTTTAAAGTCACCCTCATTTCTTTATATTTTGCAATAACAATGGAAAACAGGTGCAACAAATTGTTCAAACATACATGGGAATACAGCAGGCAAAAACAAATTTGTACTATTATTCTTTAACATTTTCCATAGATTTAACTAAAACAATGGGAATAAACGTTGCTATGCATTAACGTGACAGGGTGCGTGTAGTGTCATGTGTCATTCATTCATCCCTTGAGTTAGGTGTCTTTTATGAGCTTGAATGATTCACAGGTAAATGTTTAGTGGCTTGACACACAAAAAGACTGCTCTGAAAATATAAAGAAATAAGGGCTGGCTCAAGACTGTGCCTCTGCGCCCCTCCACAGTGGACTTTAAACCAATAAGGCTGTAACCGTGGCGCAAACACCCAGCTTAAATCCAAGGGGTTTAACGGGACTTTTGCATTACACGTGTAGGAATTAAAAGTATTTTTATACACAGCCAGTTTCTTGGATGAGAATCACAGAAGTGAAGCTTTTGTTTTTCCCTGGTGATTACACGAGTCTCATATGAAAGCATGAAGCAGGAACTGATGGGAGGATTATTTTCGTCCGTCACTCACCATGACGAGGGTAAAATCTCTGAAGGAGGGTGCTGACCTCTGCGAGGAGATAAACATGGTGCTGTTTAGCCAGCCGGCACACACGACCCTACAAGCCTCCAGATAAACAAACTAAATTAAAAGTTAGACGTCTAAATTATAATCCCAAGGCAACTTTCGCTTCTATTTTCATGCCTCGGGTTGTGGACCTGCTCGGCTCTGTGTCGACTGTTGATGACGGTTTTAGTACCACACGGGGATGCCTAAATTAAATGTTACAGTGAAGCTTTGTTTGTTTTTTTAATAGTTTTAAGTAGACTTCTTTAACAAGCATCCACAGATTTGTTTAAAGCTCCAAGTGTTTTTTTTTTACTTACTGTCATTTAAAGTGGTGTTTTATGTGTTTCTATTACGATCAGGCATGTTAATGGTCAGGCTGTAGCTCTGCAAAGATTTACTGCGCGTTAGAGATCCTCAACTCTGTTGCCTCAACTGTGCTGTGTTCATTTATCTATCGATACATACATCCATAGATCCATCCACCCATCCGTCCATCCTTTCATGGATCCATCCGTCCGTCCCCCCTTCTGTCCATATATGTACTACTGTATGTGTGGTAAAAACATACATAATTTATTTACACTCGGCAGAATTGCACATATAAATATATATACACGCTTCACAGAAGCATCAGGAGTCAGCTGATGTTGATTCACGCTTCCTTTCATTTTTATTCTATTTTTATTTCTCTTTAAATGATGGATGCCTTCCAGAGTTGCATGCACATTGTGGTAAAGGGATAATATATTCCTTTCCAGCTTGTTGTGCTTAAAGTAAGAATAAAGGTGGTGTAGAAGATGAAAATTGCATAACAATCAGACATGTAAGGTACTAAAGAGAAACAGCTTTAATTAGTCAGTTTGCAACAGGTCAGTAACATGGTTGGGTATAAAAAGAGCACCTTAGAGTGGCCGAGTGTCTCAGAAGTAAAGATGGCCAGAGGGTCAACAATCAAGTTTACAAATTCTGGAACAATTTTAGAATAATGTTCCTGAATGTAAACTTTATGAAGATTCTGAGAATCTGTAGGAATCTCTGGGCGCAACAGACAACGCTGAAAAATCGATACAGGATGTCCGTCATCTGTGGGCATGGCGTTAAAAGCAGGCGTGATTCTATCATGGATATCCCTACATCTGTCACAGGGTGGAAGTAATTTTAATCTTTTATTTATGAAATACTTCCAGCCCACATCTCCCCAATTAAATTGTCTTCTCTGGGCCAAAGCTAATTTAAACTGAACTGAGGCAAAGTGAAAAACTGTTCTATGGTCAGATGAGACAAGATTTGAAATTATTTTTGGAAAACATGGACACCTCATCCCATCTAGATGACGTTCTTTTTAGGGAAGGCTTTGAATATTTCAGCAAGATAATGCAAAACCGCATACTGCATCTATTACAACAACATGACTTCATAGCAGAAGAGTGAAAAAAGAAAGAAAAAAGAGAAATAAGACAAAGACGACCCAGTACTGTTGAGCAACTAGAATCCTATATCAAACAAGAATGGAACAAGAACTTTTAAAGTCAAATGTAGTAAACAAATTATGGAACCAACTGAAGAAGATTTCAATGTAAGGGTCTTCAAGCAGCTTTTTAAACTTTTTTTAATGTGTCTGAAACATGCAGAGCATCATTTAAAACACAACTTAATGATTCTGTTTACACTGTATGCAAGAAGCCATTAACCCTGAGTACCTCACACATAAGAGTTCATCATTATTATTATGTGATGTACCGCTCTGGCTGCAGAGCGTGGGTGTCTTCAGAGACATATTACCTAGGTAAAGGTTCAGGATGAGTCACATCTAAATCTGCTGCTCGAATTTCTCCAGACTGCAGAGCTTTGACTAAAGCATCCTGATCAACAACCAGACCTAAAACATGAAAAGTCACAAAATCAGACTGAAAGCCCAGAGACTGGTGAAGACTCGCAGTCACAGTATCCTCACTTCTGCTGACGTTGACCAGGGTTGCAGTGGGTTTCATGAGGGACAGCTCCCTGTGGCTGATCAGGCCTTTGGTTTCAGGGGAAAGGTTGACAACGAGCACAACAAAGTCAGACTCCCTCAGCAGGTCATCCATGTTCTCACAGTAACTCGCCCCCACTGACTGCTCATCTTCAAC